AACTCCATCACGAACCAACCATTTTCTACCTAAAGACAGAAGTTTCAAACTTTTCAAAATACCTTTCCAAAGAGAAGAAGCATTAGTATAGATAGCCACAGAAATAAAATCAGCATTAGCAAAATATTTACCTCTTAAAAAATTCAACAAGACAATGAGTTTGAATGATTTTTATTTGCCCACCCAATTTTTGAGAGTAAAGCCAAGTTGGAAGTTCTTGCTAATCTAACACCTAGCCCTCTACTTGTTTTGGATAGACAAACTATGTCCTAATTTAAAAAATGATTCTTGGAACTCACCTCACTTCCACCTCATAAGAAATTTCAAGAGATTCAATCCAATTGACGACAAGTCAACATAGGTAACAAGGAAGTTTGCATAATATAAACTGGAATAGAATTCATCACAGACTATACAATGTTCGATGATGAGCCTTGGATAGTACATTTTCCTTCCAACTTGCCTTGTTCTTATGAACTTTATCCACAATGTAGGCATATAACTGTTCTGAACATATTTTACGCACAATCAAAACACCTAAATAACACCCTAAATCGTCAATTAAAGGAGTACCAAAAGCTATACACAAAGAATTGGCATAACTCCAAGAGACATTTAAAGAGAAAAAAATCTTCAATTTTTAAAGGCTAAGAGATAACCCGTAGTAGCTACAAAATTATTAAGACAATCCATAATAACCTCTTTCGATCATATATTTGACTAGCAAAAAGTAGCAAATCATGTATCATGTGTGATAATTTCTCCACACACAAAATGAACAAGTAAAGTGACAAAGGATATCCCTGACAATGACCCTTTAGAGCTAAAAAATAAAGCATGGCTTCACCATTCTAGATAACAAACAATTGATTAGACATGACACATAACATAATCAATCTAATCAATTGAGGAAGAAAATTAAAATCAATAAGAACTTAAGTCAAGAACTCCCAGTTGACACTATCATAAGTTTTGTTGAGATCAATTTTCATAATCACACCTCCCTTCCTACCTTTCTTCTTTACAAAAAAAGTGAAATGCTTCTTATGTAACACAATATTATCACTAGTACTTCTACCTAGCAAGAAGCTATTCTGAAAAAGCCTCACCATTTCCTGCAAGAAAAAATACAATTTATTTATTAGCAGTTTAGTTAAGATTTTATAAGTAGCATTCAATATACTTACAAGCCAAAACTCCATCATATTCATCGAATTGTCCTTTTTGGGATTAAAGTAATAAAGGCCTTGAAAAATTCTAAAGGAAAAAAATCCATCACTCGACGCTTGATTAATAAACACTGAAATATGATTTTTGGCTAATTTTAAAGCGTTCTAAAAGAATAAAGGTTGAATACCATTAGGTCTAGGAACTTTTAGCCCTTTCATAGTGAACAACATTACTTTAATCTCTTCTATCCCAAAATGTTGCACTTGAATAACATGATCATCTAGACTCATCATAGGTTGTCAACGAGCAAAACTATCAACCAAAGGAACAGTATCATGCCGTCTAAATAGAGTTGCATAGAACAAAATTGCTTGTTATTTAAGAATATCGGTGTCCATTACCCATTGACCATCAATCATCAAACTAGCCATCCAATTCCTATTATGACAGACTATGTAAAAAGATGGTAACACTTCATATTCCTATCTCCATCCCGTATCCCTTGCACATGAGACTTTTGATACCAAAGTAGTCCTTCTTGATAAAGAGCTTCTTGGTATTATTTTTGCAACTCTCATTCCAAATTCTGTAAAAAGGAATAGTGGATGTAAGCCTCACTTCTCTAGATCCCATGAATTTGTGCAATCTATATCTTTTTTTTTTTCATAATGTCCCTAAAATAATCAAAACTCCATTTCTTCACTTCAACCATAGTAAAGACGATTGACTACAGAAAAGAATCACCAAGTTCCCATACTATAGTAAATGTTCTACCAAATTCTTATCGAGTCAATCAAACAACTTGAAAGTGGTAAAGTCTCTTATCTCTAGCTAAAGGCTTGGTCCTAGTGGTATGAAATAAGCCTAAAGTAAAACAAAAATATGCTAATCGATTAAGAGGTCTAGTTAATCAGTTAGAGCACAAGGTCCTAGTATTTTTAAGCACCAAAAACAAGTTTGAAAATATAATTGACCGTTGAAGGGAGCCAAAATGGAAAAGTTCAAAATTCAAAGAATTTCTAGTTGATTAAAGCTGATTTTAATTATTTATGGTTGAAAAATGTATAGCTTCAATCAGTTAAGGGAAAAGCTAACCAATTACAAGAAGACTACGATGTAGAGAAGAATGAAAACAAAAAGTTTGTAATTGGTTAGAGTCTCTGATAATCGGTTAGAGAAAAGAACTCAGCAACAAGATAATGCAAGGTATAGAAGCTGTAATCGATTAGAGCTACCTGTAACCGGTTAGTCGAAGTTTGTCTGTCTTTTTGAATTTAAATACTAGAGAATAAAATAACTACTAGAAGTGCATTAGAGTTGTTTTTAACAATTAGAAATGGTCTCTGGCAGAAAAATCTGACTCCCTAGGTACGCAAGGAAGCATTGGGAGATCAAGGTAGTGGATGTAGGTCAATGAGACTGAACCACTAGAAATAGTTTTGCATTGTCTACTTCTCTTTACCCTTCACTTCTTGGTGTCTTTTAGCCATTAGAAGCTTTATATTCATTTTCCTCTACTTAGTTAAAAGCTCTATCTTTCAAAAAGAGTTGAGCTTAAAATTTTTAATACTATTCACCACCCTCTAGCACTCTATTGGGACCAACACCACTTTTCATCAATCCACTGATGCCCCCCCTCCCCTCACTTCAAAGCTTTCTCCATTTTGTATCTCTCTTTATACTTGACGAATGCATAATTTGCCTCATTTCCTTTATCCATTAGAGCCTTCCTAAGAATACAATCATCTACCACAGTTCCATACTTGTAGAACACGCCCTTGATTGTTGCCCATGTTAATCTCTTACTTAAGTTATCCACAAATAGCGAAGCAAACTATAGAGCCATCTTCGGCTAGTTCTCTATTCCTTTCCCATCTTCCACCAACAAATTTAAATAAACTCTATAAATCTACTGAAGAATAAGAAAAATCACAAACAAAACATCTTGGATGCCTTAGTATCTTTGGTTGCTTTAACCTTTACCAAGCTTGATATCTCATATACAGTTCAAATTTTATCCTAATTCATGAATAAACCACGACATAAGCACTTAATGGCTGCACATAAAGTATTGAAGTATTTAGGTAGCGTTTGGTATGAGAGAAGTGAGAGCACATTCCTTGCAATGTGCTCAATTAAATTACATTGCAATATTTATTTTGCAACAAATCACTGCAATGTAAGATTGCAATGCAATCATATTACAGCCAACGGATGTAATGTAATTACAGTCCAAAACCAATGCAATCACATTATATTATACTCTGCAATATTCTAAAAAAGATTTATCTTATCTTAATAATATTTATTATAATTTATTGTTTAATTAATAAAACATATAATATAAGAATTAAAAATTAAAAAAATAAATAAATATAAAAAAATAAAATTTATATAATATAGGTAAAATAAATTAAAATAAAATATCAATAAAAAAATTATATTAAAGAAATAAAAATAAAATATATAAGATTATAATAATAAATGAAAATAAATATATGACATTAAAATATATTTAAGAGATGATTATTAAATTATATAAAAAATATAAACATATATTAAACTTGTATTTTAATAACTATGGGTAATTTTGAAAATTAACATTATATTTCTAGCAAAGCACTTGTAAATCAAACGCTACAATGTTACCTTCTCTGTATTTTAATCATTATTTTGCTTATATACCAAACACTGTAATATTATTTTCTCTATAATAACATTACTTACAATCACATTACCTGTAATCACATTGCATTGTAAAGTACCAAACACCACCTTAAAGTCTACACTTGGACAAGGAATTCTAATGAAAGCAGACTCGAATATGGAAATCTTAGCTTATTCAAGCAATGATTAAGGAGGCATCCTGACACAAGAAAATCTGTCACTGGCTTCAATATTTTCATTAGAAATTCCTTGGTCAATTGGAAATTAAAGAAGCAATCCATAATAGCTCGTAGCTTATCAAATGCTGAGTATCAATAGATGGCATCTACTTGTTGTGAAGTTATATGGTTGAAATCATTACTAGCAAATTTTGATTTTGAACATAGAAATGCAGTAAAGTTATATTGCAACAACCAATTTGCCATCCATATTTGCAAGATTCCTATTTTTCATGAGCAAACAAAGTATATAGAAATCTATTGTCACTTAATTTAGGACAAGGTGCTGGAAGGAGTAATTGAACCTTTGTTTGTGCATACCGGTTCACAGGTTGCTGATTTATTTACAAAGGCATTACAATTCAGACAATTTCATCACTTATTCAGTCAGATGTCTGTTCACAACATTCATATACATCTTGAGGGGGAGTGTTAATGATGAAGATCACTGATGGAATAAAGGGTTCAAGCAAAAGAATGTTTGCAGACGTATAAACGCCGGCTTCGGTTGGAAGATGAACATGTGAAGTACAGATGTACAGGATTAATAAGGAGCACCTGACTATCATGTGGAAGTTAGTAATTTATTGACAATTACTGTAAAGATTAAGCCGTTTACAATTTTACTGCAACTAACTTTTAGGCTTAGCATTTTCTCTCTCATCCGTCTGTTATTCTTTAGATCTAACAGACTATAAAATGGGTCCCTGCATTGATTTTAACATTCGAGTAATACAGTACACTTTTCCCAATATTCCTCTGCACGATTACTCGCTTCTCAAACTTTCACAAGGAATTCAATAATGTGCTAGGGACAGCACAGTACGATTTTTCTACTTCAATCGTGCTATGTTCTCATCCACGCTCCTATGAAGAAATTTATAAGTACTGTCTAATGTAATCAGACAACTCTATTTAGCAACATGTGAGAGTGATTGCTTCCATTTTGTGTGTCCTAAATTTGTCAATACCTACCTCCACTCTTCCTCATCAAAGTCAATTTAGCTGGTATTGTCATTAATTCCACCACCCTCTCAACTCAGTCCTACTTCATTTCCCAACATTGATCCAATCTGTCTTCTGTCAGGCTTCAGAATTACTAAGCCTGTGCCAGTTAACTAAAACATAAGAGAACTGCAACGGGGAAAATGCTTGTTTTCTCTGTAATTGAGTGGGTGAGCTCTCATCTGACCTTGTGGGATGTTGCAATTGCATTGTTGGGGCTATTCATTTTCAGTTGTATACATGAGAGTCTCACAAATAAGGGTCCAATGCTGTGGCCAGTGCTTGGAGTCATACCATCAGTCTTCCTTCACATGAATGACATACATGATTGGGCCACCAGAGCTTTGATAAATGCTGGGGGAACATTCCCCTACAGGGGAATGTGGATGGGAGGATCTCATGGAATCATCACAGTTGATCCTTCTAAGATTGAATACATGCTTAAAACAAATTTTAAGAACTTCCCTAAGGGGAAGTACTATAGAGAGAGATTTTGCGACCTGCTAGGAGGTGGAATTTTTAACTCTGATGATGAATCATGGAAGGAGCAGAGGCAGCTTGCAAAGCTGGAGATGCATTCGAGCCGGTTTATAGAGCACTCCATTCAAAGCATGCAAGATATAGTGCACCAGAAACTGATGAATTTATTGGAAAAGCTGGCAAATTCAGGGCATTGTTTCGATCTACAAGAAGTGTTTCTTCGGCTTACATTCGATAACATTTGCACTGCTGCTCTCGGCATTGATCCTGGATGCTTGGCCCTTGATTTACCGGAAGTTCCCTTTGCAAAAGCATTTGAAGTCGCCACGGAACTCACCCTGTTAAGATTCCTGATGCCGCCTTTTGTATGGAAGCCCCTGAAGTTCTTCAGACTCGGAAATGAGAAACGGCTCAAGGAAGCAATAGAAGTTGTACATGATTTTGCAGATAAGACAGTGAGAGATCGCAGGAAGAAGCTAGACAATCTTGGAAACTTAAACGATCATTCTGATCTCTTGTCGAGGCTTATGGAGAAAGAGATCGATAAACAAGGCAAAAACAGACGATATCCAGGAAAGTTCTTAAGAGATTTCTGCGTAAGTTTCATCTTAGCTGGGCGAGACACAACTTCTGTTGCATTAGCCTGGTTTTTCTGGCTAGTACACAAAAATCCTGAGGTAGAAAGCAAAATCCTGGGTGAAATCTATGAAATTTTAAGTCATCCTGAGCGAAGAACAGAAGACGATGTCATAGTTCTCACAATAGAGGAATTGAAAAAGATGGTGTATCTTGAAGCAGCATTATCTGAGTCCCTGAGGCTCTACCCATCTGTGCCAATTGAAATGAAGCAAGTTCTAGAAGACGATGTGTTTCCTGATGGTACCAGGGTTAAAAAGGGTGCTCGAGTTCTTCACTGCATCTTCTCAATGGCTCGTATTGACTCCATATGGGGTAAAGATTGCTTAGAGTTCAAGCCAGAGAGGTGGATCAAAGATGGGAAGTTTGTAAGCGCAAATCAGTTCAAGTACGCTGTGTTTAACGCTGGTCCGAGGCTTTGTGTGGGGAAGAAATTTGCTTACACGCAGATGAAAATGGTGGCTGCTTCAGTCCTGTTAAGGTATTCAGTTAAGGCAGTCGAAGGTCACAGTGTTGTACCAAAGCTGACAACCACACTCTACATGAAAAATGGTTTAATGGTGACTCTTAAGCCTAGGTTGGTAAACACTGCTTAGTTCTCGATAGAACGTGAAACAACGAAATAAAGCAGAATAATCAACATGTACAGGAGGAGTGCAGACTCGATCTGTTGTTCCCTTCTCCCTGTATTTGTTTTACCTTTTTATGGTCGGTAGAAGGCCAGCTAGAAGCCTTTGCTAGGTCCGATTGATGGTTTGAGTCTTGTAACTCCTTGGTTGAATTTTTCTTTTATGATTTGGGTTTAGTCCAAGGAAACTTTTATTTATTTCAAATATTCATTCCTTTTTTTTTATTTCTATTTGAAAAATGAAAAATGAGTAAGTTATAAAGTTAATTTGCTTTTACATATTTTTACAATATTTCCAAAAAAATGAGCAAAAAAGAAAAATGTCGTCATCCTAATTTCTTTTTAAAAATTAAAAAGATAAAACCCCTTCATTTCTTTTTGGCCAGCCAAAGCTCTAAACATCAATGCCAGGCTTCCCATCTTCGACTTCTCCGTAATCTCTTTAATATCCATTTTCTCTTCCAATTTCTGCCTTTCCATTCTCGTAAGTCCTTTTTAACACTTTGATCATATTTTTTTTAAGTTTAACAATTATTTTTGCTTTGCTTATTAGTCATTGCGAAAGCTGTGAAGGAAAGAGATGAAATTTTATGCTGCAGATTTTCTTTTGCTTCAATTGTTTATTCTATTTTTTGTGGTAATTTAAATTTCGAAGTACTTCCGTTCTGAATGTCGAAAAGGTAAAACTTGAACTAAGTAGATTCATATCTTCTTAATCTAATGGGGATAACATTTTTCTCTGTTGTTTCCTTCAGTTTCTCAGTAACCAAACGGAAACTTTGGTCGTGATCATTTCCACCAACGGTGGATAATCAGATATTTAAGGTTTTGCAAATTGTTCTTTAGGGTTATTTAGTTTTTCACAAGAATTTTGCTTTTATTGAACTTCAATTTTTCACATCAAAGACTTTGTTATGTACCCTTTAAAAAAAAAAAAGACTGTTATGTAATCCTCTGAGGCGTCATAAAATAAAAATCATATAAAAGCAACTTTATAATTGAAAATTTGTTGCCTTACTTGTTGAATTCAATATTTTGTTATGAACACTTTATAGGAGTATTACGTTTTCAATTTGTATGTTTTCTTTTTATAGTAAAATTACAAAAAAGAAAATGTCAAAGGCAATTGTGGAACTTCCTCCAAAAGGCGGCTTCAGCTTCGACTTCTGCAGAAGAAATAAAATGCTCTCAAAAAAAAAGAGGGCGGGAGGGGGGGGCGGGGGAGAGGAACCCTCCATCTTTTCGAAAGACTGGAACTACAATTGTTGGTCTTATTTTTCAGGTATAAATATAACTTTACCAACTTATATTGTACTTTTTACTTCTACGATTTATTATCTGCTGTTTTCTTTCTTATTGACTTGGTTAGCTGCCTAGTTGTGATAATGTGATTCTAGATATTACAACAAATCTTTTGCATAGGTATAGCATTAGCATACTAGGAATGTGACTGCTTAGAACTGTTAATTTCGATGTTGCTTCTTTGAAGTGCTGGAAGAGCTATTGTTGTAAGGCTTTTTATGAACTTGTTGGAGTCTGAATCAACCAGTATTTCTCAAACCTTCAATTCTTTTATAGTGCTTACATATTAATTCTTTTGTGAGAATGGGATGCTCATGAGTGCTACTATTATTCTCAGAGCAGATACAAGAGCCACTTCAGAGCGTATTGTCTGTGATAAGAATTGCTTGCAAATTCATTATATAGCACCAAACAATTATTGCTGTGGAGCAGGAACTGCCACTGATACAGAGGCAGTGACTGGTATATAAAACTTTTTTGTCACTATTCTTGCATATAATTTTTTTTGCCTTTTTATCTTTTCCTGATGTTTTCATTTGATTACAAAGTGGTATATGTGAGTATTAAATTCTTCTTTGTTTTCACATTGCCTTTCCATCAAAGACATGGTCAGCTCCCAGCTGCAGCTACATCGGTGTCATACTGGATGAGAATCAAGGATTGTAACAGCGTTGACTCTTTTAAAATCTCATATTTTCCAGTAAGCCTATATCTGAGAGTGTGATCCTTGGTATGGTCAGATCTTTTCATTATTACTAGATTGAGTTTAAAGAATGCCTTACTGGTTTTACTTGTCCTGCTGTCTAGCTATCAAGGATATATTCAAGCTGCTTTGGTGCATGGTGGAGTGGATGTGACTGGGCCACATCTGCATACAATGAGTTGAGTTACACACATGAGAATCTGAATTTTCCCTATTTCTTTGCATTGACCTATGGTATAACACAGATCTATCCTCATGGATCTACGGATACTCTGCCATTGGCAACAATGGGTTCTGGTTCACTAGCTGCTATGACTGTTTTTGAGTCAAATTACCGTGAAGGACTAACTGGAAGTTCTTGTGCCATTTAGCATCATGTAGTGGTGAATTTCATTTCAATTTATAAAATATGCTCTGGATATGATCAATAAGAAATCTGCTTGATTTTGCTAAGTAAAAAAGTATGTTTTTCAAAACTGCTTTTTTGGAGGGCTGTAGAAAGTAGCTCTTAGTCTTTAATCAAGATATTTGGAATGTCTTCCTTTTGATGCATTAATATGTAATGATTTATTTATGCAGAAAGAAGAAGGATTTAATTTGGTATGCAAGGCTATTTGTGCTGGCGTTTTCAATGATTTGGGCAGTGGGAGCAATATTGATGTTTGTGTTATAACAAAGGTTTGTTGTCTTGCCTGCATTCAGGTAGAGTAGAGATTTTTGGTTCTATTGATTTTTTTTTCTTTTTACTTTGACTTCTTCCTTTTAGTTTTCTAACACTATTATAATATTTGCTTGTATAGGGACACAAGGAATACCTAAGAAACTATCAAGTCCCAAATCATTATGCAGATAACAGCTCAAAATTTTTTACATTCCCTAAGAAGATTGGTAAGCAATGTCATCTCAGCATCAGGTGTCTGTTTCTTTTAAAATGTTCCTTATGTCCTTGGCTTCTTTAATATAGGTATTCTGAAGCAAGGGCTGCATACTAGTGTTCACTAATTTTTGCATAGAAGTTTTTGCGTCCTTGCTGAGTTGTTAACAATGACTTGATGCTGCAATTCTCTCATGGTGCAGAGGTTCTATTCACCGAAATCACCTCATTAAAGGATCAAGTTGAAGTTGTTGAAGATGGAGGTGCGATGGAAGAATGAATACAGCAACAAACTGCATTTGGTGATTTAAATTTGCTGGTTCATAATCCCATTGTTGTTGATTCATCATATGTTTGTTTAGGATAAACAACATTATAGTTATTTCATTATGCATTATAAAATGGCACACAAGTTTCTATTCTTGTCTTTCAACTCCAATTTACCCTATACTGAAGGAAATGCAAGTATAATGGCAATGGTTTTATTGAACATATGAACTGGATTGTGGATGAGTAACATAATTTCTTTTAAGTGTATACATTTCAGAAAATGTAAGTCTGGCCTGATGCCTGGTAGAACTGTGGAAGAACGTATTGAAACAACTTCTACAACTTCAACAGGCTATGTAGGCCTAGTAAATTGGTATGTCTCAGCACCAAAGAATATATCTCATTTAGCAAGCGGGTTAGTTGCATACATCTCTGGATTGACTAAACTTGCTTTGAGTGTTCATTTGTATCCCTTGCCTATTTTCTTCACTGAAAAATGCTTTTATATTGAGCCACCCAAAAGGTTCCATATGAACTCCTTTCCAGGTAATTCCAGAATCGAGTCAAAATGTAAAAATGACTTTACCCCACTTCTGCTTCTTGTGCTGTCCACAAGTTTGAACCACTGGCTCTCAGGGTCACACATATTATCGTTACTCAAGCATTTGCAACTGTTTGTAACAATAATATTGGTGGAGTCTACATCCAGGCAAATGTATGTGCCGTTTCTGAGCTTAGATGAGAGGTGCATCTTGGAATCTGATATCATTTCCCATTTTGAATTAGACTCGCTGCAGATAATACCAAGTTTTGCCAGCGTTCCTGATTCATCAACTTGTAAGCAGAAATACGTTCCCTTGACCACCAAAGTGTGCTGGGGTGAGTAACTCCAAGCTTCAGAGTCAGTACAAGGACCCAAGCGCAACGGGTCAAGCAATGATTTCCTCAGGACACAAAGCCCCGTTGAAGGATGAAAGATTACTTTATGCAGTTTGGTTTCTGATAGGCCTGGCCCTGCATGCCATTGTGGAAGAAGCAAATAATGGGCTTGGTGACACTGTATGAACTAAGAAGGAAAAGCGAAAATAAAGTTTGCTTACCCTGGAAAGGAGATTGGAGGGCTGAAATTTTCTCTAGGAAGCTTGAATTCCTGATTTCACACCAATTCCAATTCAAGATTCCATAGTACTCGTTTAACCCAATGACCCCTTCTCTCAGATAATAACTCCCAACCAGTGTCCACAAGGCCCAATCCAGGTCAAGTTCAGCTGCCACACCTAAGAAGCAATTCAAGTATCTATTGTCATTGACATTGGTCCCCCTTTGGTCGACCCCAAACTCGCTCACGAACAATGGGTATCCTTGATCCAACAAAAATCCTGATGTTCTCATCATGTTGTTCGCCACTCTGCCACACACCTGGTTCGGGTTGCCAGTTACCCATGCCTGCCCATCTGTGAAACCATACCAATGCACCTCAAATACTAGTTTCCCAGTAAACGTGAGATTTGCTGGTCGATTTCCGATAAACGACAAGTCCTTGTCATAATTCAGTCCAGAAAGTATAACAAGAACGTCTGGGTTGGCTGAGTGCACCGCTTCAGCCCCTTTCTGCATGTACCTAACTCAAGTCATCAACATAAGTGCAATGAGTTTCCCATTTTTCTACCCATTTGTTTTGATCATATTCAGATCTCTACTTTGCTTAAACAAAAATCTTTTACCTGTACCAATCATTTACGTTCTGTCTGGGGCCTCTGAGCTCATTTCTCAAGCTCATTCCAACCACATTGGTGACACCATTGAAAAGGGTAGCCATCCGAGTCAGGCCCGTGATCCATATATCAGGGTTGAAGTACTGGTCACCGAAGAAACCATTGCCGTCAAAATTACTGCAGCACCAACCGGGCTTGCTTATGTGATTGTCAAGTATGACCATTACATTGTTTTCCCCAAGGCTAGACACCACTGCCTGAGAATTAAAAATTTTTCCAATAAGAAGTCTAAACAAAGTAACAATCGCTTGATACGGGGATTTCAACTTCAATTACTGCTTTATTAACACAAGAAACAAATAAATTGTCTACCAGTTTATCCAAGTAAATTGATATTTAAATCATAAAGCATAAACAAAACGGCTAAGGATAATAATTTACTTGCCGTCCCCATCATTGCTTACCAACCACAAACTCATCGAGCTTGGACTCAACCTTTCCCCCTAAACTACATGATTATGAATAATTAATAAGTTACTAACTGTGGGCCAAGCATGCATGGAAATATCCCCCTAAAATGGGAAAAAGAAAAACAGAGACGTGTCAAGATTTAAGGTCATTGTCGTCAATTTACTGGTTTGTTGGGATAACCTCAAGTCCATAACCAATGCCGTAAGGGATCAGTTTTTTCAAGTGTTGGAGAGTAAGTCTCCAAAATAGGTTTCTCTTTCTTAGCTTTCCTCTTTTCTTATCTTCCCGGAGGAGAAAACAAGGACAGAATCTTTCATACCTGGTAGGCTTTTAAGAGGGAAACATCAATGATGGAGGGGTTGTTGGTCTGGATGCCAGCGATGGATTCAAGCAGCCCAAGTCTTTGAAAAGATTGTCTAACAGTGAGAGAGGCCAACGAGTCATTGGCGACCAAAAAAAGCGGCCAAGTGAGCCTAACGCAATTGAACCCCGTGGACACAATCCGTTTGGCGATCGCGTCCATTGGCAGCTTGCTAAGCCCTTCTGCAACCATAGGTTCAAGGTGTGACACCCAGTTCACGCACGCTAACTTCACCCGCTGCCCTTTCTCGTCGACGATCCAACGCGAGTTCGTGGAGAGCGGAAGAGGCATGGCTGGCTTTGCATCTTGAATGATAATGTGAAAGACAAGGAACAGAGGGAGGATAGACAAGGAAGAGAAGGGAGTGAACCTTCCCATGCGTTTGGTTTTTTCTTTGACTTTACGGGGTTTTAATTTGCATCGAAGGAGGACTGGAACGTCCTATTTATATATATATCCTTGTCAATAATGAAAGCAAACACCGATCAATATCCCTTCCTGGGAAAAAGAATAATGCTATTTGATAGTAATTCCAAACTTTTGGTTTTAAATATATTATGCACTGTGTAAACAACTGTCATGAATAGGACTGGTTTAATCGTTTTCGTCACTATTTTATTTATTTATGTTTTATCATAATTGCTAAGAGCTAATTAAGTAAGCCGCCGCAGCTCTAGGAATAGAAAGCAACTAAACCTTGATGAGAGTTGGGGCTCTCAACTTTCATGCATAAGCCGAAGGCCAAGCTGGGTTTCTTTCCATACAAATTCAGTGCGTGTAAAATAATAATGCTAATCAGACGGGGAGAGGAGGATGCTTGAGCAAGCCCACAGTTCACACGTTACTCATTCCACCTGTAAACAAAGCTACTACACTCAATCATATATTATAGGAGATTCGTTTATATGCTGTCTTTTCCTCATTATTGCTTCATATATAGGATCCTCACATCAGCAATGTATTTTTTTTTTTTTTTTGAACTCATGATTTCGAGCTAAAATTGGTTGCTAGTTGTGTGAGTCTTTTGTGTAGGGGAAAGATGATTCAAACTGAGTCTAAATAGGAGAACATATGCTCATATTATAAGCCAAATGCTTATATGCTCACTTGATATAAGTTGTGGTATATAAATCATCCTTTTCTCCCCAAAACAACAAGACAAGAAGTGGACGATGTACTACTAAATTCCTTTTTCCGATATAACGTAAAAATTCTCAGGTGAACATGTGGATTGGCTCAACCATAAAGCAAGAGTTCTGATTCTCTAACTAGAAAGAGAGACTAAATTTGGTAACTTACTCAAGCCTATAGTATCATGCACCGAGGAGATGATTTTGCCAATCAAGGAAAGAAGGGTTTGGCTGATGAAATGATTGTTTTCATGGAAATGTTCACTTCTGCGTTGAGCATGACAAATTGGACCATTTGCTCGTTGTTGGTGGTGACACGCTAAGTAATGGGATATATGGGATACATTTGAAAGAGATTATGCTAAACTGAATCGAAATGCCCACTTTCGCACTTACACACACATTTTTCTTCAGGGTTAAGAGATTGTGTCTGGTATAGGGTACCTTTGGGGGACCTTGGCAAACTTACAAGGCAATGCATACAATTGCTTTTGCTATAGGCTATGGGTGTTCTTTGCTTTTATTTTTGTTCTTAGTTTGACTTTTCATTCTTTTTTCTGAAGAAAGAACTCATTTTAAGTACATGATAGACCAAATGAATGTATCATAAGAACTCGATAACCTTTGATATAAGTTGTAATTAAGATTCATAAATTTTATGTTGTTTTGTCTCAAATCAAACCTTTTTACTTGATTAAGAAAAAAGCTAAAAACAAAGACTCTTTTTGATCAAATCACATGCAACATTCATTAAATTGATGACCCAAAGTGGGGTACAAACAAGCACTAAGTCCATCATGAAGAGGGACTCGTGCGTTAATCACGCAGCACATTTCAAACAGCAATTAACAAACTCAACAAAACCTCCCCTGAAAAATTAAGGCTTTATAAATCACACCTTGATTATAACACCATCAGTTGGTTCGAACTAAAAACTAATCCCACCTACAACAATAAATTTCTCATGGCTGGAAACCATAGAGAAACCGAGCCTGTGTGTATACCTGTAATTCAAATTGTCCAACTCACTAGTCCTTCATCATACACCTCTACTAATAAACATGTTAGAGCGTGTGATTAAATTAAATAGTTACTTTAGTTACTTGATTATTGTTAGTTTAATATTATTTATTTAGTTAACCTCTTGTATATAAACTTTTTAATTGTATTCATTTATTAAGTATAATAGAATACAAAATTAGTTTTTACCAAAAGCTCTTTCTCTCTGTTTGCAAAATGCTCTTCTTTTCTTCTCATATGGTAAGTTCTTAATACTTAGTAAACTCACATGGTATTAGAGCAAGGTGG